GCAGCACTCCAGTCATGTGAGTTATCCCACCACATTTCTGTGATGGTGACTATGTCAGAGCTTTCCTGCTGCACAATGGCCTCCAGCTCCTCGTGTTTGTTCCCCATACTGCGTGTGTTAGTGTACATGCACTTCAGCTGGGATGATGATTTAGCTCCCAATGCTGGCTTCCCACCCTGAGGCTCATCTCTAGGAAGGCTGGTTTCAAGCCCTTACCCCTTTGAACCTAGTTTCAAGCCCTCTTGATCAGCCCTGCCAACTTATGGGCTAGAATTCTTTTGCCCTGGCTAGAGTGATGAAGCCCATCTGACTATAGCTGGCATGGTAACATAGAATATGTCCTATGGTCGAATAAGCCGAAATTCTGCCAGTAGCACCAATCCTTTAGCCACCTATTGATAAGGTGGGTTTTCCTACTCCTCTCCTCATCTCCCTGCTACTACAGTGTTGGGATCCATGCGAGGAATGGACTACAGCACACCAATGTGATGCTCTGATAGTCATTTTATCACGGTTCGTGTACATTATTTATAAAACAAAATCTTCTGTACATGCAGCCATGCACTGATCATGCAATTTCTGATTGGTTGCCTTGCTTTGCCCATGCAAACAATTCTTACTTGTGATAGGCTACAATCTCAAGCATAAGCCAAATGCAGGCTAAGCCACATCCCAGTGGGAAGTGATAGCAAGGATTGCATAGTATAAACAAGAAGCTTCACTAATGGCATTATTTTAGCTTAGTTAGCAGAACAACGTATCTTATCTATAAGACAGTAAAACTAACCAGACTCAAACCTTGGCAATAGGAAAAAAACCAAGACCATATAAGGTGTGGAATGAAGAAATAGAATGCTTGAAGACAGAAGCATGGTCAGCAAGACCAGCATTCTTTAAATTACAGATGGCCTTCTCTGTGTCCGAGCCTTGTTTTATAATTGCTCAATAATTCTTTTAACTACACAAGCATTCCTTTAACTATTGCTCAAGCTATAACTCCTCAGCTATCCAGGCTCCAACACCACAGGAACTGAGATGAACAACACCTGTGCTCCTGTCCCATTAACTAGTCTGCACAGTTCATTGAAATCCTTTTTAATTACCCTAATGCCTCTTTCATTAATATCATCACTGCCAGCCCGGACTACTAACAGTGGGTAGTAATCAGAGGGCTGAAACAGCTCACGGAGTTTCCTGCTG